TAGAATTACTGTGTCTGGGAGGTGGCAAACACACAGTATTGGCAAACCGGGCCACTAAAAAAGACGAGTGAAAATGGATAAAGAGATGGGCAAAGATTGTAGGATGTAAAAGGAGAAGCTGGAGGAGGAAGGGACGAACATGAAGACGGATTTGAAATAAATGGATAGGGACAGTGCTTGTTAAGCTAACTAGATTTATTTCTCTGCCCAGAAATTATGTCCTTACAAGACAGCATCGAAGCAAGGTCTTTAATTTCACTGTTCCTGGGTTTATCGCTTGGGCCTCAATGTTATTTAACAGCAGTGAGCGTCAACCAGTTTCATTGCGAAGCTGGACTTAATTCAAAATTGTTAAATCTGATGAAAGCTTTTTTCTTTTGACAAAGACATCCTGAAGAAGCTTGTGCTTCTCTGACAAAACACGGAGGTTGTGCACCCTAGGAGAACGGACACTGCCAAAATGCTGATGGATAGAGTAGGGACAGGGAGACAGCATTCCCCCATCCCTCCTCCCAAGGAAAGGAAGATGAGAAAGCAGAAGCAAAACCAGCCAGACATCACAATCCTGAACAGTACTTGGACACCCCAGCACAGCACAGGGAAGCAACAGAGCGCATCGCTCTGGGCTCTTCTTTTAGGCTTATCTTGAAAAGCAGATACATATTTTATGCCTCTCTTTGCTTTGCCAAAATGGTGCAAGTTCTAAACAAGCCTCAGAGCTGTGTAACATGAATAATGGTGATTGGGATGTTCATGATGCACATTGTCATAGTTTAAGGGGCTTAATCTAATGGAAAATGGTTAAATACCCTGACGCAAGCCATCTCAAAGAAACTCGAGTGCTGCCACAGGATGCTGCTTGAGTTATATTACCTGTGATGAGTTTCCTCCCAAGTCTTTACCAAGTCCTGTAACATTTGTCTTATCACCCAGTGCCAAAAGAGGGAACAGCAAGATCCCAGTAGCGCTGGGCTTATTGGAGGAGTCTGTGCTAGGGACTGCCCTGCGTCCTGCTAGGACATATGGCAAACGCAAGCTCGGACCATCAGTTTGAAATCCTGTCCCTGGCTACCCAGTTTGAACAGCATGTGGGTTTTTAGAGGACTGGCCAAAATGCCACAAATCTCTCAATGTAGCTGCACAAGCGACTTTCCTCCTGGCTCCCCACTTTGGCCATGCAAAAATCTCACCTTTTGTGATTTCTGCCCTCTCCCCATGAAAAACAAACTGCTTCTGTTTGCCTTGAAGGTCCCATGGCTTAGCTTCTCTTCATCCTCACCTCTAATTCACCCCTAAGCGTATGGGAAGCATTTGGGATAAAGCTTCAAAAATGCTTTCGACATAAATTATTTTTCCCCTTCTAAACGGATTACAAAAATCCTTTTATTACAAAATATTAAAATGTTCAAATTATTGGTGTGGAAAAACGATTCCTGGAGGTAAAGTTTTTAAAAATTGAGGTTTTAATCATAAGCATAATCCTTTCTGGCTAACATTTCCAGTCTTGTGAAACATCTAGATACAAATTGCACAGAGGCCTGGCTGTGCTACGAACAAAGGAAGATGCTGCCTGTAAATAGCTTAGAGGACACCAGAAGACACTTTTCTCATCAGCAATCTTTTTTAGCTTAATATAGCTCCTCTTTGCATAAAACATTGACATTTTTGCAATGTTTGGACCCAATGGTGCGAATGCTGATTGTCATCTGAAGATACTAGAGCATACCTTCAAAAATATGCAAGAACATTTTACAGACAGTAGTTTTACTTGCCTCCAAAATGCTGTATCTTAATATTTCATACTTATATATATTTAAATGTTAGTACCACCGGATAAATGCTAACATGCTTTTATGCTAATGCAATCACTGAAAATCCAGATAATATTGTGTATTGGCATATACTGTTAGTGAATTATGGATACCTAAATGTACAATCCCACATGCCTAGCAATTATTTTTGTTAGTGCATTTAACTTTTATTTGCAATCAGAGCACTTGAGGATTGTTCAAATGAAGTTTACTTTTGCAAACTGCTGAATGGAAAACATTTTGTTAAAGGTTCAAAAACAGTAAGACTGTGATGAGGTTGCGGAGTTGCAATAAGGGCACCGCTCGGAAAACTCTACCAGATGGAATGATGTTTGATTTGGTCACAGACTCAGCAATTAAACCCCAAATGCCTAAAGTGAAGGACATATAAGAGAAACAAGAGATGAAATCTTGATTTCCTCCATACCAGACCACTCTTCTATGGCAGAAGCTCACAGATAGAGGCAGATGGATGCTGGGAGGACAGCATCCGTCCAGGCAGTACCCAGGCAATTAGACCTTGGGACCCTTTGCTTTGCAGACCAAACTATCCTGTGCTAAGGCTGCTTTTCAAGTCCAGTTTAAGCCACATAAATAGGAACATATCGGGAGGGAGAAATCCTGAATTACCCCTGCTGTCCCTTCTCCTCCTCTTTCTCCTCTTACCACCTTTGCTGATCCAACATCTTGGCCAGCCACCTGGCCCATTGGCTCAAGGAGCTGATCCACCTGAAAACCCTTTTATGCCAAATCAGTTTTCAGCATAGCCAGACCTCTGAGGCAGGTCCCAGCTGGACCTGCAGGCAAGACCTGGGTGATGCAGCTGGTTGCTCCATCCCTTACCTGCTTCACTACTTGATCAGAGTTAAAGACAATGCAAATCTGGAGAAGACCCAGATATTTTTAAGAGTTGTAAAGTCCTGGATGTGACCCAAGCATGTCTGAGACTGCTCAGTATCCAGTGGTTTTCTCTCGCATAAAACAACTTGCCTACAGCCAATGCCAAGCTCCCTCTTCTGGATTCAGCTATGCCAGGAGTTAATCACCTCCTGAGTTGGGCTGAGGAGCTGCTATGATCAAGCCCTGATTTTCCTCTGGGAAGGTTTGCCTGGCTTGACACCACTGGCCTGAGCCAACCTGGCTGAAGAGACCTGGGAGGTGGCCACAAGCCCATTTGGTGAGCAGCGTATCATCGCCTGTTGCCCAGGCATGGCTCAGCATCCAGCGTAGGATGTGATACCAGCCCCGGGCACATGAGTACAGATCAGATCGTGCCCCTACAGCCCAGCGAGCTGTGGCACCTACTGGAAAGTCCTACCACCTAACTGAGACCACTAGGAACAACCACCAGTGAAGGAAATAAACAACAACCCCTCAGAAAAACACAAGACATCAGAAAATGCTTAGCATGAAGTACTTGAAATGCTCATGGCAGTTTAAATGGAGCACGTAGTAAGCTGAGAAAACGTATGAACAAACAAATTAAGCAGATAGCATACAGCAGACGAGTTGGCATGTAGGTGTCTATTGAGAAAGCTTAAGCACAGCAAAGGGAAAAAAATCAAACACAAAAACCAGGCATAATATTCCTCACATTTTGGAACTGAGCTTTCAGACAATACATCATCCAAACCACTCAAAATTACCATCTGTCAGAATGTCCTTTAAAGAAAAAAAGGTCTAAAAGTTTCCAAAGCAGTATTTTAATATTATCATATTAGAAAAGAGTTTGTTTCTGTCCAAAGAAAGGCATTCGCAATTAATTGAGGAATATCATATAAACCCATTAGTTTCATGGCCATTGCTACACACTCATATCATGAGGTAATGAATTTCTTGAATCTTGATCATGTCACATTAGCTAAATCAGGAAAGAAGCGATTTAATAGTCCTTGTCATTTCACAAGTTACCTGCAAATGTTTCCAGAGCCTCTACATGATTTTCTCTTTATGAAACATATCATTAAGAGTCTACATGCTATTAAAGAACCTAAGGAAACAATTACAATATTGCTTCAAACATTAAGATACACCAGAGTATGAAGAGCAGGTCTGTGTTTCTGATGTGAAAGAGCACATCTTGTGATCAGTAAGTCAAATTCTGTTTCAAAATACAAGCTGGATCCTTTCCTGGTGTAAATCTGGGTACCTGCTGCTGCCCATGAGGCCATATTACTTCACATATGCTAAGGACCAGCTGCATTGCATACAAGACTGCAAATTTATTTTTCTGCATTTCTTGCAGATTTGTAGACTATATATTAGACTAAGTGATAAATAATTTATAATGGTGGAGAAGGTCACCGTATTTTTAGGCATAGAAATACACAGATATAACAGTCCTGACTTCCAATCTTCACTCTGCACTTCAGACCATGAAGTTTGCGTCCATCCAATGCATTTCTAAAGTTTCTGCGCACATGAATGGGCAACACACGCACCCTAAAGCCCCAAAACCCATAAAACAAAAAGGGCACCAATAAAACCCATTGAGCCCACACAGTATCACCTGTAGTACTACACCTTATGCCCTAGCATGAGGCTGAATGGGCTCCTTCAGGCAACAGCCACCTTCCAATGAACCACAAACATCCTTCAGACCAGTCCCTTCTTGATTCAGCCTGCTGACCCCATTCCTAACCTCATGTCTGACACTTCTTTGGTTATGCCTGTGGGTCAGAGGAACATGTCCATGGGGCTAAAAACCCCCTCCAAAGACCATGAGAGTTGCTGTATTTCTGAAATCAGCATCTCACTACCCTAAAGCAATCTGGGAGCAAGGAGCAGGAGGGAGAAAGGTGCTTGCTGGGCGCTCATGACCGCACCATCCTTGAGATCTTCCCTCCGAGAGGGCTGCCAAGGGGAGAGGAGGGGAGGCAGAATTATTCCCCTTGGACTTTGTAAAAACAGGGAGCCCATGGAAATCAAGAAACAACCATAGCTTCCATGCCAAATTACTTCTGGTTAAGTCTAATGAGCAGGGTGAGGACACACTGACAAGACGACCAGGGTAAGTGGTGCTGCAAGGAGAGGGCTAGGCAGGGGAGAAGACAATTTGGTGTGTCGCAGAATGACAGAAGCTTTCAGCTCCTGCTATTAGAAATAAACAAAGAGAGCTGAAGAGATGCACAGAGCCTGTCTGGTCTCCCGAGGGTTTCACCCTCCCAGGCTGGGTGTGAGAGAGCTCACCTGGACAGCGCGGCTCCCAGGACGAAGGCAGCGTGCTCCTTCAGCACAGCCTCGGTGCTGTTCAGCCCATCGATCACAAGCTGGAGTCCACCGATTGAGAGGAAGTCCTTAGCATTGTCCACCTGGGAGAGAGCAGCTCCCCATCAGTACAAAACCCCCAGCCAGTTTCCACTCAACCACTCTTCGAGAACGCCTTGCTTCAGAAAGCACTGCATCTCTTCCCTCCCAGTCTAACCAGCGCTGAGTTTTAAAAGCAATTAAAAATTAAGAGGGAATGACTGTGGCTCTAATTTTGTACAATATTGTCTGTGAGCAGTGTATGTCATGGTTGCAGAAGCACAGTCTACTGACAGGTGGCTATTGCCACATGTACAAGGCATTGCTGAAAACTCAAATACTTTGATTAGCTATCAAAACTATTCTTGACACATATTTTGGTAATTCAGGTGCTGTAAAAAATTCAGAAGATCTGATGATGTCAAAAAACCCCAGTTCTTTGCTCTCTCACCTGAGCAGGCCATTACTGGCAACCCAGGGAATTGTATGTTTTGCAAATGCAATTAATTAATTGATGCTCTAATTGTAGCACCAGGAGTTAGGGATGTTTAAGAGCCTGTCAGCAGCAACAGTACATGGCCAGCATCATCTCTGCTCGCAGAGAGGCACATGCGCAGTTCTGGGTGTTTTTCATGAGTACAGTCAATGTTTCATGTGGATGTGAAAAGAAAAAGCCAGTCCCTCCTTGGAAGGGTCAGCCAGAAGCTTCCCCTTGGGGCAGGCCAAGCAATGATTTTTCTAAAGCAAACGATGTTGGACTAACTGCCAGTAGGGAAAAGTTTAAACATTAGTGGGGATTCATCCGTCTTTGACTTTAACCAAACTTGGGGCTAACCAGGCACAAATCACAGTGGGCATCTGTTCTCAGAGAAGAAACTAGAAAAGGGCTCCAAGTGGCTCGCAAACAAAATTTAGAGGAACAGCGCAAAGTGTTTCAAGTACAAAATTTGGTCCAAAGTCAAATCAATGCATTTTGGTTTTCAAGGATTTCTTTTTTGCAGTTTAAAAGGGAATCTGACAAAAGCTCAGAATTGCGTGTGCAAAAAATTTGGTTTTAGAATTTCAACATTTATCCTCCCTGAAAGACAGGGAGACAACAGCATATGTTGGCGGATGGAAATAGAACATAAAAACGAGTTATCAGCCAGGCAAACCGACCTCCCCAGCTTCAGCGAGCAGACCCCACTGACGGAGTGGGACAGGCCAAACACCACACAGCATGCAGGGTATGACAGGCTCAGGGACCGTGCTCCAGTTTGAACGCTCTTTTAGTCAACAGTGACTTCATGCTCAGTGTTATATTTATCTCAACCTTATACCTTCACCAAAATTGGCCATAAGTCGATATTTTGGGTACCCAAGAGAATGAAGAAGCTACTTAGCTTTATGTCCTACAGCTATGTCTTCACCAAAGCAGGACATGGGGAGCTACAGCTCATCTCTTCTCCCCAGTAGGACAATACCCACCCCTTGCTGTACCTCTGCAAAGCCGACAACAGAAAGCCGATCTCTGCAGGTCTGCTGGGGCTGATTCAGCATTTGCAGCAGCTTTTGTATCCTTTCAGATCCTATTCTTTTAACCGTCCCTATAAACTGGACCTGCCAGACCTCTTACTTTTCTGCAGGCCTGTCTTTATCTACAAAGAAATCTGTGCAGCAACCCAATTTCAGCTACCAGTGGGTGCTTTTATTTCTCAGCCTCTGTAAAAACTCCAAGGCTGCTTTAACGCTGGAATCGGACATTAACTTCTGCTCAAGAGGGAATGTATAAACAGGCAGAAGTTTGCATCCAGCATCAGTTGTGGTAAAACCAATCGTCCCTGTATCCTCATCAGCGCCAGAGTCCTTCAGGCTAGCCCCAGCGTCAGTGAGACATTCAACTGCAGAATATAAATTGTGCTGTAAAGCTTATTTTGAAGATTTTTTTTTTTTTTTTTTTTTTAACTGGAGTCTGTTGTGAGAGCTCCTTCCCTCACTCACCATTTTAAAACCAACAAACCCCCCAAACGCAACAACGTGAAGGTATTAACCTCTCTGGGGAGTAGAGGATGCTGTGAGGCAGTAGCTCGTGCCTCGCTTCAGTCCACTGAAATCAGCACGGAAGAAAGCCAAAGATCAAAAGAGCTCTTGAGTAAAGTACACAGGCAAGGTGGGTGAGGAGAGGGATGGGAGAACAGCAAATATGACAGCAGTTATTCAGGGAGCTGCTTCAGATCAGAGGAGAAAGCAAATGGGGAGGGGAGGCAAGAGAGAAAATGTTAGAAAAAGAGAGCGAGGAAGAAGCAGCATGTCAACCATACGCAATGGAGAGGAAATTAGCAGTAAGAAATGGTGTAACATGTCAGAGGAAGGGAGAGAGGAAGATAAGGAGAGTAAATAATTGAGAGAAAGAGCCTGCAATGCATGAGGACAGGTCTTGGCTCTGCACACTGCTGTGCAAGCACCGTGAATTCTGTTTATAAATGAGTTATGCTCTGGCCTCTTCACATTTGCATTTCGTTTTTATGCGTTACAGATAACCTAGCAAGCCAAACCTTCCTGCTTTTTCTCCAAGATGCGCTCCCAAACATGCCAAGTTGAATCCTGACTGATGAGAAGCAAACCAGAGCTGGCAACCAAAAGCTGAGGTAACACAGAGCCCTTGGGCTGATTCTTCAAGACAAGGAGAGAGCATCTCTCCCCTGGCTTGGCACTGGCCACGGCTTCCCCTCCGCTCCCTCGCAGCAAGCTTGGAGGCATGCGCTGCTTCATGTCCCAGCACTCCAGGATGCTCATGACCATGCCGTGGAGCGAAAAGCATCCTTTGCTTGCAGACCCTGCAGGGCATGGCATTTTCCTCTCGACAGGGTGTTTTGTGCCCCAGAGGCAGCAGCAAGGCAGCCAGGAGACGAATGATTAGCAAAACCCGGGGCATGTTACCATTCAGACAGAGGCCAGGGGAAAAGGTAGCAGCAGAGCAGTCATTGGTCCCACGCATAGGTGTGTGCTGCCTTGGGCCACCCACGCCTGCGAGGACCCCTGTCCTCCAGTGACACGGCCATGGCTCGCCACAGAGGACTCCTGACAAGTTCAGCCCTTCCAGGGTTATGTGGCACAAGTGTATTTGGCTGCTATTCAGTAATTACATTAAACCAGTGCTGCTAAAGTCAGTACCAAGCAGAGATAATGCTCTGGACGCATTCAACTGGCTTGAAGAAGAAAGAGGAGGAAAAACCATGCTGGCTTAGAGACAAGTCATATTTCTTATCAGCTTCCTGCCTGATGAGAAGGTGCTGCCCAGCCATCTGCCCTGACAGCGCAGGCACAGAGCAACGTTGTGATCGATGCACAAAGGAGTCCTCTGTGCTCCCTGCCAGCCTCCCTGCCATTTCCCCCCTTCTGACCCCTTTGATGCTGGATGTGGTTCCCTTTGATGCTCCAGGCCCTGCACAAAGAGCAGGGACTGCTTCCCTGCTCCTCTCGCCTTTCTGAAACTCTTTGCCCCATCCCATGCTGCAAGCAGGCAGGACTTTATGCTGGAATAGTCCAGACTGTCATGCTGGAAACCAAAGCATCCCAGGGTGTTTGGGGCTTGGTTTTTAGCACACCTGGCCTGCTGCTCTGGCACCCTTAACCAGACAGATTTAGCGCTGAGTATAAATATGAAGCTCTTCGGGTGCCCATTGTTCACGCTTATTCTCTGAGTCAGATGCCGTCAGTGAAACAAAAGCATTGAGAACAAACAGCAAGGAAGCCTCTGCATGCATATGACAGAGATTTAATGTGGAAATTCAAGACAAAGAGCTCTGGAAATAACACTTCTATTAGCTGGTGCATGGACTCCATCTCGCAGCAGCTCATTCCTTCAGCTATTTTCCCAAAAATACCATGTTTGGTTTTAAGAAGTGTCATTGCAGTGAAAGGTCTTGCACTGGCATCTCCCAAGACTTGTCCCATTCACCCTCTGAAAAGATAAAGTCACCGAGAGCGACACTGGAAACTCTCCCAGTCTGCTCCAGACTCTCCTGGCTGCTGGGGAGGGAGAAGCTCAGCCCCTTCCCATGGGGCAGAACACAGCCTCGGATGCCCAGACACCCACCCAAGCCACTGCAGCATGGGAAGGCTCCAAGCACAAGGGAGAAGAGCGGCATGCCTGGAGCCTGCAACCAATGGGAGGTAACAACGTGCAAGCTTAAAGCAGAGCAAGAGAGATGAGAGGAGGGGGAAAAAGTGTGAGCATAAACCTAAGGAAGCGAGATTTCAGGAAATATACTCAACCTCACACAGAGCCACTTAGCGTGGCTCAGCTGATGCTCAGCAACTTGCCGTTCACCTGAGCCTCTCTGTTCAGTCATTTCTGCCACCAGCTCAGCTGTGAGAGAGGCTCTACATGCCATTTCTTAGTCATGCCAGGACAAAATACAGGTTTTTGGGTGGCTGTTGTCTTCCCTGGTATGAAGACATTCTCTGTGAACTGGTGTAAGGGGACTTACCTGCAACCACAGATGCTTTCCATGGGAGAAGCAAGAAATAATTGCTTTTTTAGCAGCCATCACTATACTTGCCCAAAAATGGCAGATAAAACCCCATTTCATAACATTTCGCATATATCAGAAGAAAAAGAGAGGGCAAGAAAAAAAGCCTGAGAACAGACAACAAATCAGGCAACACTAACCCCTAGGAAACTGCTTGCTACTAGTACGAGCAATGATTTATTCAAACCTGGATATAAAATAAGCCTGCAGTAGCCCTCTGCTGTCTGTTATGGTCCCAGGATTATGATAATTAAGCAATTTGTATTACCTGATACCAATAAGAAAAATAAACCCACATTTATGACACTGTATCCCCTGGATTTTACATAGTAGTTACTAATGCATTTTTGTTACCTGGTGAACATAATATTCAAGATCATAAAGCGCCGCTACTTTTTCATCCAGCGTGGAGGCAGAGCTGTTGAATTTGCTGATTAATTTAACCATAATTTCATAATCTGTTTCCATCTTCACATTCAGCTTTTCAAACTCCTCCTTCAGCTGCTCTATGGGCCGGAACTTCTTCCTCACCTCTTCCTCATGGGCCTTGAAAGCAGAAGGAGGAAAACAGATATGAAGGCAGGTGAAAAAGAGAGTCAAGAAAGACGTAGAAGGAAACCCCAGCCCCAGATTTACAAGGGGAAACTGGCTGTCTATGCAAACAGATTCACTGCTGTGCACCAGAGATGCAGTGGCTGCATTGGAGGGCCCTTCTGAGAGGCCCAGGAACTCAGTTATCTGTTAGATACCCACCCTGGGTACCAGCAAGCACTCCCTGATGAGCCTGTAACTAGGGCTTTGTACACCATTTCTACGTCCTATGCGCCTTCCAAAACAACGTAAAGCCCAGAGGCAGGCGGCACTGCTGTTCTGTTTGCCTGCAAGTAGATGTTCTCAAGAACTGACTGCAAAAAGCCCTGAGCAACCTCCCTGATCTCACAGCTGACCCCGCTCGATGCTGAAGATGGGGCTGGAGACCTCCGGAGGTCCCATCCAGCCTGAACTGCCCAGTGACTCCATGCCAGTGACATCAAGGAGATCTCTGTGGAAGCATATGAAGATGCTTTCATCATCCCAGTCCCTTAATACACTTCAGGATGGCCTTATCTCTCAGTGAAATGTATGCACTCGCTGTTGGGGCCAGAAGCTGTCAGAAAGCAAGGCAGGAGGACTGGCTGCAAGATGGGGGCAGCTGAAGTGCCGTGCCGTGGGGCTTGGCCAGGAGATAGTTTGTCTTGCAGTGTGGCTCGTCTCCCTTGTACAAACAGCACTCCAAGGGCTGCAATGAATGAAGAGAGCTGTGGAAACGCGTGCGGTGAGACAGAAAAGGCTCTGCCAGAGATCTAAGAGAGCCCCAGAGCCAGCAGGGACGAATTCTCCAACATCAGCACTGGGACACTGGGACAGATGGGGACAGAGCCTGCTGCTGCAGAGGATGGAGGAAGCAGAGAGGTCAGACTGAAATGGGCTGCCCCAAGAGCAGGAGAAAGCAAGAAAGCCCCTTTTGAAAGGGATTCTACCACAAACGCAAATTCCAAAACATGCTTTTATACAGCAGTGACCCCCAGCTAGAGGGTTTGCACATCCAGTGCTCCCCCCAGCAAGCACTGCCCCGCTCCCCCATGTGTGAACAGAAGCTGAGGGCTCGAGCCATCAGAGGTGGGGAGTGGGGAGGAAGGAGTGATGGAAGTAAAGCACTGTCTATCTAATGGCAGACGAACAACTAGCACTAATGACTACTGGCCTAATTACCACAGGTACCGCGTGGTAACAGAATACCATCCCCACCCCAACCACACAGAATTGCTTTTGCAGGAGCATAGATGGGAACATGCTTGGTGTAACTCAATTTACTTTGACACAGTTACTTCAAGGATGAATTTGCTCCCTGCAGGAGTGATTTTAAATGGAGTACTTTATGTCCATTAGATGTAGCTGGTTTTAGCCCAGTTGCTGGGACAATAGCTATTCTAACAGGGTTTTTTAAAATACGGCTTATTTTCACATAATAGAGCATCACTAATTTTTGCATTTAAATGACACTCATTTCAACAAGTCCTGCTATCAGTAATGCTGGCTGCTACATAAATAATCTTTCAGAAAACTAAATAACATCCTGGTGCCAGAGAGGAGAAAAAAAGACTTTCTGTGACTCCAAGATTTTAGAGCCTTGACTCCTATGTCAGTTCTCCTTCGACTGAGACAACATCAAGGCAGCAGGAGGAGCTAGGGCCTAAGGAAATACTGCTGAGTAGAAGAGGGGGAAAAGACTGTGATCCACCTGATGAGTCACATATTATCCCACCAGTGTCATGACAGTGGCTTGGGACCAGCTCCAAGCCTGGAGAGGGCTGAAAGCAGCACTTATATTCTATTTTACTTTGGATTGTGGACTATTTGTAACTAAATGGGAAACAGACAGCTTATATAAGGAAACTTCAGCCTATGCTTCAGCATGGCCATCTGGTTTTTACTACCCAGGGCATGAGATTGGAAACTTAAACCAGGAGATCACTTCTGGATCCAGCTGTGCCAGTGGCAGGAGATGCTGTGTCCAGTGGCTTGTCACCATCACTGAATCCACAACAGAAGCGCCTCAGCTGCACAATACTTTTTGTACTTCCTCACAATAGGAGGAGGACAGTGAACAGCAAAGTAACTTCCTTTATAAGTACCATCACACTGCAATCCAGTCCACTTTGGGGGTCTGCAGACATTTTTGTGAACCAAGCGGCAGTTGAACAAAGAAATCAAAACAATGGATAAAAATACACCCAAACAATGGAAAAGAAATCAGCCTGTGGGTTCACACAAGCGTTTGCAAGCTGCAAGTTACTTTTTTGCATTATTAATTCAGGTCTAATCACATTGGCATCAGAAAACTCAGGGGAGCAGCATCACACCAGAAAGCTTACTGCTCTGGGTTCAGGAAAGATCCCACAGCTTTACTTTAGCATTGGTACACCATGAATGGCAGTAAGAAATTTGGTGTCTGGATGGCTCATGAGGACAGTTATGTGGACACTGTGTGTCTAGTTTGCTAGATAAGATCCCACTCTCTTGAGTAAAGACCAGAAAGCAGCAGCATCTGATGGCTGATCTGATGGCTAAACTGCCCACTCCACCACTGCAGCCCCTCTCCCCCTCAACAGCGCATGGGTATAATTATTACCAAGAAACACCCTGACCTGTGAGAATATACTTAAGGACTTACAAGCAGCTTGCAACACAAGGCCTTTAAGTTAAAAATGAATAAAATGGACCTGAATGAAAGTTTTTCCATTTTTACAGAAAACCCAGCATTAGTACAGAAAGGAGTGAGAGTTTCCCAGGGAACTATATCACTAACAGGCTAGTAAAGGTATTTATATTCACCAGAAGATTAGTCTGCACAGTATTTTCCCAAGCAATTACTTTAACCATAATATTTCTGAGACATGCAATGCAGGATGTTCACATCTGTGTAGCGTGCATTGCTTTAGAAACAAGGAACTATCCTTACCTTTCTTTCTGCCTTCTCACTTTCCTTCATTTTAGCCAACGCTTTTTTGAGCTCCTGGGATGTGAATAAATTTGAGTCAACATCCACCTTGCCCAGCCTTGCAGAGGAAACAAACCAAAACATTTTACAAGTGAACAATTGTATCTGTAATATTTTCATTGTGATATACTAGCAACGGATAGCATCAGGAGGAAAGGAGCTAAGAGCGCTAGATTTCCATGCATTTCACTTAAAACACAGAAAAAACCCTCCACACTCAAGAAAAGATTAGTCCAAGCACTATTTTGTGTGTGGTTTGCAGTCACCTCACCCTGACAATCAAAAAAGGCTCCGTAATCTACATGCCGACTCAAAATCTGAAGTTCTAAAACAAAAAAATAGCTGATTAATTTATGTCTCTGAATTTCATGTAGCAATACAGAAAAGCAGGAAATTTTTCAGAGGAAAAACAAAAAAGGACCACTGTGCCACTAGATCATTGCTAAGGACTTGCAAGCTTTAACACGGAGATCTACAGCTGAAGTGCTGATGATCATCATACACAAAATTAGGGCAAGGGTATGTCCAAGCAGAAATTACACAGAAATGCTTAAAACCACGTTGTGTTGCTCTTTATACAGGTCTCATTGGTTTAGGGAACTTATCTGGGCTGTAAACACTCTTGCACAGAAAAAAGGAAAGCCAGCCTTTGAGACATCATGAAACTAAAGACCTTCTCCATGCTCCAAACAGGAGTAACAGTGAGGAGCGAGGGAAGCAGTGGTAAATGCCACACACTTTAGGAAAGGAAGTTCCCCATAGTAACTAAACCTGTCTTTGTCAGGAGGGTGCCAAGGGGAAAGTCAGCACTAGTGAAACTTTTAAAACAACTTTTAAAATGTGGGTACAGGGAAAGCTGTGTGATCTAAGGAGAACACTGGCAATAACTGATGTGTAAATGAATGCTGCAAGCCTGCTGACTGCACCGAGTTAAAAACAATGTTACCTGGCTCAGATCAACACAAACAAAGCCCCTCACACCTGCTCTGATGTTTCAAGCTCTGAAAGCAGTTTCAGTCTGATTGCTGCAGATGTTTCCAAGGACTAAATATCATTCAAAGAAGCCATATTGCAAATTTAGTTTCAGTGTCGTGGCATGAGACACCATGAAGGTGTCTATGCAGACATACTCAGGGCGGCGCTTCTACTGCCATCCCGAAGGGATCACAAAGGACCAGCTCAGTTTTCGCTGCTGAACCCTTAAACCAGCAATTAAGTCTCAGGAAGAGACAGCAGTCGAGTGCACCAGGGAACCTGGCCTCTAATGAAAGACGCGAATCCCTCAGCCCCCCCACTCCTGATGCTTTGCATCACTGCACCTTTTTCTTCTTCTCTCTTCTCTCGTGTCACTTCTTCCATTTTCGCTATCTGGGAGCTTGGCTTCTCTGTCTCCCGTCTGCAGATTTAATCGTACGTGTGACCCTGCAGGAACGGCTTGACCTACAAACAAAGGTCAGATTATTTTAGGGCACATGCATTATTTCAGCTTTGCGCACGAAGGGTGAGCTGAAGGTGCACACTCCTACCCAAGAGAGATAAAAGCCTCATCCTGCACAGTGAACAGGAGCGGGCTGTCCGCTGCGGACCACTCTCCCCTCCAGCACTGCTCCTTTGACACAAGTGCTGTTTTAACCCTGCAGATATGCCACCCTGACCCACCGAACAAGTCTCCATGCAGCTGGGCTGGCACTATACCAGCCACAGGGGAGGAGGGACCCTGAGCCAAAGCACTGACTCCCTCCTCCCTCCTGGGCCAGTTCCTAAGGCAGTGCTAAAATTCCACATCAGGAGCTGATTTGGAGACTACTCGGAGAAAGGGGAATTGGTTGCTGATTGGGGTAGACAGCATAAAATACAGCTGCCAAAGTGAAATCAAAGCATACTGCAGAGTACAGCCAGGTACGCTGAATATCAAGTGTACCAAGGCAAGGCTGTGTTGGTTTGGAAATATTGTATTAAAAGGAATATATGATCACTAATATCTGCCAACAAAAATACACAGAATGCATTAAGCTTTGGTTTTAAATGCAGAAAAGATGGGAAATTCAGAGTGTTTTTTCTTGGTCACAATTCACTGCAAGCACGTCACAATGGCCAGCTGTCACGGCGGGATGGAGAGGTGGCAATAGTTGGTTGCTGCTTCTTGATGTTTCTTTCTCTTCTTTTAATGCTAGAAATCTGCCTGCTTAGGAGAGCAGGGTCGCAGCTGAATGAATACAGAGATCTTAGCTGTACACAGATGGACAGACAGACACACAGCTGCTCATGGTCCTCTCTCTTGATGAGGTTTCCCTATTCAGCCTTTCCTTTATCTGTTTCCTTTTACCTGAAAAGGCGCCTAGGATAAAATACCACAGCATGTAGGAGACAGGTAGCATCTCCTACCAAACGGAAGCAAAGACAAGGATAATTATTTTGTACAATAAATATATGTTCTCAAAGACAAAATCCTCTATAGCCTAGGGAACAATCAGATTGATTCCCCCTCTTCAAGACCAAAGAGACATTTCACTGATCGAAGGACCTGGTGCTTCCTACAAAAGACTGGGATGTTTGTCACAATTCAGACAAAAACATTTCAAAGCCTAAAGCCATCCAGCAGGTATAAATGCATTTAGAAAAAACAAGAAAATCCATTTTGGAGGACTTCCTATTAAAACAGGGTACATTTCTGACAGCTCCTCTTTCTCTCCACCATATCCTGTCCATAGGAAGCTGCATTAGTTGGATACGCGAGGGGACAGACCTGATTATCTTCCCATCTTAAGGGACAGGCTAGATATGCCTCCTCTGCACTTGGCACACTTTCCACCAATGGACCTAACCCTTCTCCTGCTCCTTTACTCGTGATATAGTAGCGAGCCTGGAGAAGAGGAGGCTGAGGGGAGACCTTATCGCTCTCTACAACTACCTGAAAGGAGGTTGTAGTGAGGTGGGTGTTGGTCTCTTCTCCCACGTAGTTAGCGATAGGACGGGAGGAAATGGGCTTAAGCTGCGCCAGGGGAGGTTTAGGTTGGAAATTAGGAAAAATTTCTTTACGGAAAGGGTGGGCAAGAATTGGAACAGGCTGCCCAGAGAGGTGGTGGAGTCACCATCCCTGGAAGCGTTCAAAAAATGGGTAGATGTGGCACTTCAGGACATGGTTTAGTCTAGTCTACCCTTGATTGGCTTAGAGTAGACTTGGTAGTGTGGGTTAATGGTTGGACTGGATGATCTTAAAGGTCTTTTCCAACCTAAACGATTCTATATGCAGGAGAGCTTTAATCTATATGTCTATCTAGAGGAGCATCTTCCCACTTTCAAAAGGTGAGCTTTGCAGGAATTCGCTGCCATAGCAGAGCTGTCCCCTCACAGGCAATGCAGCTGGGACATGCCAGTCAAAAAGGAGGTTGTAGGATCTCCATGAACAGAACAACACTACATCTCCTCTCCCTGTTTCAGGAGACACTGAGGCACAGGTCTGCCAGGAAGGAAAAAAAAATTATAAAATGGTGTTGCGTGCTGAACGTACAGATGCATGAGGATATCTTCCTCCTCCACAGGCATGAACACCACTTAGGGGTGAGCTGTGTCCTTCCTTTCCCAAAGCCAGACTCTTTCCTCACCAGGTCACAAACACTGGGACAGCCCAGGTTACAACCACAGCACTCGCTGAAGCAAGTCCTGAATTGTCAAGCGCAGCCAGAAATAAATGTCCCCATTAGAAGAGTACAGTATATTCTGGCTGTCGTGCTCCCAGTGCATCTGGCCACATTAGTTCACTCGGTTGCCAGGGGAGAGGAAGGAGGCTGATGGGCTTTGCTTAAAAGAAACATCAAAAGGGAAAGCAAGGAAGCAGCCTCCAGAAGGGCTGAGTGACTCCCGTGTGACCAGTCCTCCCAGTTTCTATTTTCAGCAAGCAGCAAATAAAAGAAAATGTGAACCCCGGAGCGCATGAGCTCACAAACCCAGCGCAACTGAATTAAGGAGGGTCCCATCAGAGAAGACACAAACCTTTCCTGCTGCTTCTTCGCACTTTACAATGTAAACGAGAGTTGACCGAGATCATCCAAACCCCAGAGCAGAAATCTCAGCCCTGATGTTTTTAAGCAGCTTTCATTGCTACAGGAATTTCTTCTTGTCACTGTGCACAGCAGAACAGGTTCATGCCACAGCAGGACAAACATGCTGCTTTATTAAATAAAGCAAGACAGACATCTCTTTTTTCAGCAAAAAGATTGGCGTAGTCACTTAAAATATTCCAGATGTTTGAGACAGGACAAGGTCTTCAGTCTTGTTTAGTCTGGGGTATTCTGAAGTATTATTCATAAAGTGTGTTTGAGGATGGGCTGACTTGAATAATCTGATTAAAATTGCTGATTTAAACAAGCAAGCTGGTAATCCTGAATTTTAATCACGTTTCAATATATAGCTTCTAGACATTTCCCTTAAAAATAGTTGATTCTCTTTGAATCCTATAATTTGATACTATTCAACAACTGGGAGCACGCACCAGAGTGATACATATGCAAGCAATTACACAGCTTTGCATGCTGTTGATACAGACTCACACTCTTAATAGCTTTTTTTCCTAGAGGAATTAATTTTTTACTTATTGTTTGTACTAAGTTGCATTTGGGAAATGAAACTCAATTAAAAAATATAAAAACAAGTTTATATTTAAGCAATTTTCTGACCTTTTTTCTCCTTCACACCTTAGAAAAATAAAAGATGTCTATCCAAACAGGTATGCATTGCATATCTGCGTTACTGAACACAGCTAAACAGTCTCATTTTCCAGAGATCTCCAAATCCTACAGCTGCTAGATCTCATCCTGTCCTACTCCCTCACTCCTTATAAAGGGAAAGAAGAGTTTCCATTCTAATTAATTTCCCAACTCCGAATCATCTACCCAGCAAGTAGAAACAGCTGCGAAAACCCTTCCATGAACCTGCAGAAAAGGCTAGAACTGCTGGAGGAGGAAGCTAGCAAACTCCTTCCCCCACAACCAGTTTGTATTCTTTGCCACTTAAAAACTATCCCATACTTGAAATTTTTTAAACCACAACTGAAATTATTTGAATACACATTACTGCATCAGCTTGGGTTGATGGATCTAAGAGAAAGCCACAGGGTTTAAGCAGGCCACCCAGTGTCCCTGATGGGGATGTGCCGCCCCACCAGCCCCTCAATCTTTCAGCCCTTCACCTCACAGCCAAGAAGATAGCGTCCAACAGGTAAAATACTTCCAGAGGATAACAAACCCTTGCCACTGCACGAATGACAAGGTATATATTGGGAATAAATATCAAAGCAAAGCGACAGCGTTTATTTTCCAAGCTGATCCTGTGGCAATGCACTGCTATGATGATATTACTACGTTCTTGATTTAATCCCTTTATCTAGTGGCATGCACTGTGGCTGCAGAAGCATCGGGATGGGCTTTGCTCTCCTGCATGAGCTGGAGCACAACTGCTTTCTGACTTAGACCACCCTCCAGACAAACCGTCATCGTGCCTGGGCGCTGCCATGCGTCCAAGCATCTGCAGACTGAAAATGCATGGTCTTTTGGAGGTCTTCCTGGTGTATTAGCATTTGTCTTATTTGGATGTGTTCAGTCTGTCCTGAAAGTTGCTTAAAGTGATGCCAAGGAAGAATTTAATTTATAGCCCTATTCTTTTAATCTTGGTCAACCAGATTTTTTCAGACATCCGTTTATTTCTTCTTATAATATATTAGATGGAGTAACAGCACTGGAGTCAGCTTCAAGGCAGCAACTCACTCGCAGGGGTTCTGGTGACATTTATAAGCTGATCCTATTTCTCTCTTGTGCTTTATGTTATCGGCTAGACCTGTCGACTTAAATTATTGCCTTGTAACAAAATCACAGTTATCTGTTATTCTGTTATGTGTACATTTCTGAAGCTCTATACCTATATCAAGCTTCGCAGAGGTTGAAAACAAGAGGATAAACAAATAAGCAAATGGAAAGCAGAACACACTTCCACCATGCTCACAGCTAAGGCAAGAATCAGGCACACTACATACAGGACAACTTAAAGCAGAGGGTTGCTGTGCTGAATATGCATCGCTAATATCCAAGTAACCCCACCTCTCCTTTTCTAGACCAACCAAATGACCAACTGTGTTTTCTCATTAAATGAGAAAGGTCTCATCCTGCTCAGCTCCCTTCCAGTACATTATTCCATTTAGTGCTGGCCACAAGCTGTTTTGCATCTCTGCACAGGGACAAGACTGAGCCCCAACTCACTACACAGCAACAAGCAGGCATTAAAAATTACCGGGGAACTTTTACATCATACATAGACATGTAAATCTCATACCGAGATTGTGCAATAACTCATTATGCTCCTGGCAGCAGCCTCCCAATCCCCCCACCCCTTGGACCTCCGAGCTGCCACCCATCAACCTGCCCAGCAAGAGAAGCCCAAGAGGGACA